GTCAGACCGTGTGTGTGTGAAGAGATGTGGAATAGAGCAGCTTCGCTCTTAGCGACGTTGATTTTTAGGCTGTGCTCGGCAGCCCATGTGGCCACAAGAGACAAGAGCGGTCGCATTGCCGCAGCACAGGCATGGATGTCCGCACCTGAGGCAACAAGTGTGAGGTCGTCAGCGTACATGAATGCGGAGGCAGAATAGATGCTGCCCAGGCGGCGCAGCAGATCATCCACACAGTAGAGGAAGAGTTGGGGTCCCGGAACGCCGCCTTGCGGTGCTCCAGCTGAGGCGAGTTGTTTCCGGGAGTGCTGTTCACGAGTGCATACCCTAACATAGCGGCCCCGCAGGTAGTTGTGCAGCCAGCGTTTGGTTCGAGGCCAAGGCACGGAAGTCTGTCAAGCATGCAGAATAACTTCCCATGGTCAGTGGTGTCGAACGCAGTCGGAAAATCAATCGAGACCACAAGCGATGGCGACGAGGGCGTCGTGTGGGGGCGTCGTCTCCAGGGTGCTCATACTCCACAATGCCAAACTCACTCAGTCCACGAGTAATTTGTCGATAACAGGTGCCACCACGTCCGACGTAGAACGCGGAGGTGCAAATCCAAAGTTGACGTGGGTGGTGCGGCAATAACGCTGACAGACGGCGGTGAATCATTCCTTCGGCTAACTTTGGTAAAACAGAGAGCAGCGTGATGGGTCTGTAACTCTCTGGGCGGCATGGATCCTTCCCAGGCTTGGGATAGAAATAGCGTCTCCCATTTTCCAGGAGCCAGGCAGGCTGCCATTTGCGAAGGAGTTGTGGATCATCGTTCCAAGTGTGCCACGCGCAACGGGCACGAGACGGTGCAGGAATTCATTCAACATGTCGCCGGGGCCAGGGGCTGAGCCAAGCAAAGAGTCACGGATGGTCACGTCAAGTACATACGGCAGGAAAGGCCGATCCATTTCCCAGCCACCAGGAACCAAAGGAGTGCAGCGAGCAGCAGCAGCAGTATAAGGCGGTATGGCACGTGAAACCGCACAAAATGACGGACAAGCAGATTTGCCTGTTGCCGAGGCAGGGCGCATACGCGGCCAAGTTCATTGCGGAGCACAACCGATTCCAGAGGATGAGGGTGCGGCGCCGCCATGCCGTGAAGATATCGCCACCTCGGGCTGGGTGAGGCTCCAAGTCTTTTCGCGCGGGCCTCCAGAAACACAGCGGAGCAACGGCGTAAGGCTTGATTTCGTTCCTCCCTTTTTTCGGGTACATTCGGCTCAAAGTAGGCTGTCTCCGGGTGAGGCAATGTGTGTGCTTCGTGTGCTGCCTCGGCGGCGGACTCGGCCTGTTCCATTTCGTGTGTCCATATCTTTTTGGAGCTGTCACGGCTGCCGCGCGGGATGTGGCGCTCAGCTGCTCGTAAGATGCCTCCGCGAGGATCCAACCATGTGGACGCGGTGGCAAGGAGGGTTTCACACAACGATGTAAAACCAGGCCAACCCGCTTTACGCAGGGCAAAGGTGGCTTCCTTCCGTCGAGGCAGCGTGTTTGCTAGTCGTGGAGTGCCATCGTCCATCTCTACCAAGTAAGATATTCAGCAATGGTCCGAGTCCATGTAAGGGGCGAATGTCCAGTGGGAGATGCGTAGGGCGCAATACGCAGTCACGTCAGGGGACGAGGCATCACGATGTGTGATCCGTGTTGCCTGTGTCGGGTCATTTGCCAGCCCAAAATCCATATCGATTAGAACAGCGGCGAAATTATCGCCTCCAGTCCTTGATGGTACATATGACTGTCCCAGAGTTCACGATGTAAATTCAGGTCACCCGCGATAATCTCTTCGGGCACAAGCGGCAAACGATATTGATAGATGCGGATTATTGACCGATTGTTGTGGGAGGGTTGTAGAGATTCGCCACGCAAATGCTGCGACAGCCCGGCGGAAATACACGGACAGCAATGGTCTCCAGGAGGTCAGTGCCAGGGAGCGACAGGCGCTCGCACGGTAGAGAGTGGCGCACCAGAACGGCAACGCCACCACCGCGCCCAGTGCGGGCTGAAGGCAGTCATTATGGCCACATAATTTCGTCGCAACGTCACCACGGTTACTTATTTCCTGCAGAAGAACGGTGTCAGGTGGACACTGCCCCAATCGCGCAGCAAATGCAATCTTTTTCACGGACGAGAGGCCTGCAATGTTAAGCCGCCAAATATTGATGTAGCCATCCTCCTCGGTGCCAGGGTTCTTGTGAACGTCACCGCCACGGGCGATATCAACGGAGTGACCGCTGCGAAACGGTCGTGCAGTTCTGTCCGACAGTCTGCAGGCAGACCGCCTCACCTCCCCACACCGGGCATGGCGTGGAACCTTCTCGAGGGGTGAAGTCACCTTGGTCTCCGTCGTGCTCGCAGCAACGCCCTGCTGCGGAGTTCCTATACGCAACCAAAGCCCAACACCGCGACAAGGTGCAACGTCATCGCTGGGGACCGTGGATAATTACGAAGAAGGACGGTGTCGGCATTCCCACTTCAGCCGGGATTGGCATACTGCTCTCATCCCCGCATTCCTCGGAGATAACAGAGAAGGTCAGTACCAACGGCGGCACACGCCCATGCAGCCACACGACGGAGTCCCGTGCACTGCTCCCGGCCATGGAAAGGCTGAGTGTCCCTCGTATCCAGCACAGACAAAAGCCCTGCTTGTGGTTACAGACAGTCATTCCCTTCTAGCCGCCGTCACCAAGGGCCCGCTCAGTCATACCGACTGGACGGAGGATCGGATCTGGCAGCGTCTCTTGACACTGACGCGTGCCGGCTGGTCCGTGCACCTGCAGTTTGCTACGAACATCGCGGAGTACACGTTAACGAGCTTGCAGATCAGCATGCGACGCAGACCACGGCAACCGGGCAACACACGGAGCATGGAATAGCACCCATACGGCACACGGACCTGCTGACATGCATTAACACCCAGCTCACCAACAAGTGGCGTAGTACCATGCATCAGGACACCCACCACTACCTGCTTGGCGGCGCCAGGCCATCAGATCCAGGCGGCAAGCACCTAATCACTCAGGAAGCCCTCGACTGACAGGAACGGATAAACACTGCATGGGAAGGGTGCGGGGAATCTGAGCTCTGGGGTCGCCTGTACTGGACTGTGAGAGACTGCACGAACCGACGCCGTTTCCGCAACATCTCACCGGAACACTCCGCTTTCATGCGCTCCAACGAAGATCCCACCGCACCGGGACGGAAGCTGTTCCCCCGACGACAAGGGAGGCCGACGCACCGCCTGTGGAAAGACGGCCCTCCACACAGCGTCGAAAGAAGAAATGCCCGCACTGTGACGCCACACTGGTGGGACACACGAACCACATCGGTCACTGTCGGTGCTTTCATCCGGAACATCCACCACCGCTTCCCAACCTCCACCGCGATTGCTGCGACACGGTCCTCCCCACACAAAAAAAGCACCGCACAGCACAGAAATCGCTGCGCACAAAACCCAGACGCTACTCGACACCGCAGCAGCAGTGCCAGGAGACAATCACTGCTGCCGCAGGATCAGCCAGCCTCCACAAGCGCAACAATTAGCCCGCAGAAAACACTGCACCATCTGCTTCCGGAATGTCCAGGCACCTTGGCTGTGCGTCAACGGCTGGGCATCAAGAAGGACCTTTGCACCGAAAGCTTGTCCCAATGGCAGCTGCCCCATAGCAGGAAACTCATGTCGCTGCTCGACCATCCCCTCGGCACCCTGATGACATCGTGTGGCTAGACATGTCGGTAAGAGCAGGGAAAAATAATAATAATGAGCATTCCCGCCACTATAGAGACGCGGTGCATCTTGCGATCCCGCTGGCGGCTCTCCTGTTCCACCGCTGTTTTTGCGCAAGAGGTTACCACAGTCATTTTTGTGGTTTGGTCGGCCTCGTGTTGCGCTCCGGGTTCTCCTCCTTCATCGCCCTGCGGTGCTTCCTTCGCCGTCCCTGGCACCTGTGACTGTCCCGTGACGGTTTGTTCCGAAGCCTGACTGCCCTGGGAGGTACTCCCGCCACCAGCATGCACTCCACCCGCTGCCTGCTGAGATGCGTCGGAGCGTGGGGATGTTGTGCCTGCAGCGTTCCCTCCGCCCAAAGACTCCGGTCCACTTGCACGCATCCGAGCAGCAGACGCGCTGCCAGTGCAGGACGGATTGCAAGTGCCACTTCGCAGTGGGTCGCTGCTGGATTGTTCCTGCCTCGTCGGTGCAGTGAGTGATCCTCCCGAGGTGGGATTGGGGCCCTCACCCGCAATACTTCCCCCACCCTCCTCGTCTTCCTGATTGCTATTGTCCTCAGAGTTCACATTCCCCTTTCGTCCAGAGCCACCGGCCACGGGTCCACCTTCCGCAGCCATCACACCCCGCGCGTGCCCAGCAGTCACCGCGCCATCACCCGCGGGCAGCACACGCACCCCGTCGCAGCAGCCGTCACTCACACGCACGAGCAGCTGCGCATCACTGCAGGAGCCAACAGGACGCAGAGCACACGGCCAGTCATCATCACGAACAGTGGAGTCGCCTAACGCTGCGGAGCCAACCTGCGATAGCACGAGAAAAACAAAAAGAGAGACACAGCCGCTACACCACGCACAGCCACCGCACAGCAACAAATGGCAGCACCCCAGCAGCAGCAGCAGCGCACACACCACGAGACAGATGGAATCAGTACGATTGCAGAGCTCGCACACCGCCCCGCAAACCAAAGTTTAAAAAGCAATAAAAACAATAATTAAAAAACAATAATTAAAAAGAAAAGAAAAACAAACCCAGGGCTCCAGTGCGCATGCTTATGAGTGTGTCCGCGATGCGTTCAACGTGACGGATGCGGGGCACAACGCGGAGCACACAGCACGGCAGCAGAAGCAAGTGAAGCAAAACAAGATCATTATTTCCTCTTATTTATACAGTGAACCACAACACACACGCACAAATCCCCGCGGTTGAGTGCTGGCACGCACAGCCCGCACACACCTCTTCAGCCCAGAGCGGTGTACGCCAGCGCGGATGCGGCGAGCAGCAGCGGGGCACACACCCACGCAGAGCTGCTGAGGCTGCCGTCGATTTCGCGAAGACGTGACGGTGCGCGGGTGGTCGTCGTAGTTGGCGCCTCTGTAGTCGTAGTACTCGGTGCCTGTGTTGTAGTGGTGGTGGTCGTGCTTGGTGCCTTTGTTGTGGTGGTAGTGGTCGTCTGGGCAGCATCCTTGACCTCCTGGTCTGCTTTATCTGCGGATGTATTAGTGCCACTTTGTCTTTCTTGCTCTTGCGTACCCTCTGTCAGTGATTTATTTGGTTCGGTACTTTCTTTTGGTTCCAGAACTGCCGTACTGTTAGATCCTGGTCCCTCTCCGCCACCATTTCCCGGATTTGCAACGGACCCCGTTGTTGAAAGATCTGAATGACCGGTCTCCTGTGGTGCTACACCTGTTGCAGAGTTCGATTGACTGGTGACGCCTCCATTAGCTCCAGGATCAGTTGATGTCGGTGTTGTGGTCACTTTGGAAGAAGCGGCAGATTTATCTGAAACGCACACGGACGGGCAGCAGCAGCACAGGGCAAGCACCAACAGGGCGCACAGCAGACGGCACGTCATCATCGTGAGTGTGGTCGTTCAGTGGTGTGAAGCTGATCTGCAAAGTGAGGGACATGGAGAGCAACAGGAGAGACGAGAGGTGCGGCAGACACACACAGAGGGCACACCACATGAGGAGAGGGCAGCAGCCAGGCATGCACCGTACGCCGCACACCACGCACGACACACACTCCAATCCACGGCAGCAGGCACACACACACAGCCCTGCCGCAACAACACACACAGATGGAAGAGGGAGAAGCAAACAGGAGCGGCACACAAGGCTCCACCGCATGTGCATGCGGCGAGAGCGGTCCGTCGTGTCGGCACCCCACACGGAGGGTGCGCACACACACAAGAAGGTGCAGCGCACACAGCAACACAACAGCAAAGTAACAATACAAAAGAAGATCCCCGCACACCACGCGGATTGTTGGTCCACGGGAAGTGCAGCCAATATTCATCACAAAAACAGTTCAGTTGCCTTCGGCCTTCGTCCACATTCATCGCAGACCACTTCATGCAGGCCCGGCCACCACCGCAGCAGCCGCAAACGTAAATATAAGCACAAGGAAAGGAATAATGCAAGCAACCATTTATTTGTGTTTCTGTTTGGATGTTGGCGGATGTCTGCATGCTTTTTTTCATTTTTGCGGAGGGTAAACCTTCATGCCTGGATCGTGTGTTTCAAGAATTTCCGCAAGGTGCACAATTATTTGTTTTCTCTGGTGAATTTTTATTGTGTTGGTGCAGCCAATAATTCGGTGTGTGTTCTTCCTGCCTTTCGCTGGTAAAGTGCTGCAATAGATGTTTGTTTTCCCTTCGTTGCTGTGGCACCTGATTCTTCACCGTTTAATGCGGTGGAAATGAAAATATGTGAGTGGACTCCCACGCACCAGAACGCACCTTCGCTCCTATTTATTGGTGCATGGAAGGGCATGTGTGTTTGGTGGTGCCTCGACCATATATTTTGTGGGCGTACATTCCCCTGCAGGCTGAGGGCGGGACGACGCTCCGTCGCGGTGCACTTCCCTCGCATGCCGCCCACCGTGATTCATCATGCATCACCCCCTCACATACTCCGTGGTGCCACACCGCTGATATTATTGCAGCCGCCGTGACTCCGCATACTTCACGCATTTGATTGTGCCAAAATACATCCGCTCGTGTGGCCGCCGCATCCAAACAGCGGTGCCCAACACCGTGAGCGGCAGTCCACATCCCTGCATGTCCCAACGCAGTGGTGTTTGACTGTCAGCCAGGCGCCAGACAACAGGAGAGTATTGTGCTGGCAGTACAACACACGGAGCTGCAGTGAATGACTCGGGCGGAGACGCATCCATTTGTCGCAAAGCAGTGAAAAGGAGTCGGGCAAATAATGCCGGCTGCATTCACGACACCATATCCACAGCCAAAGCATGCGACGTGATGTGTGTTTCACTGGTGCTGTGGAATGCCTGCAGACGACGTCACTAGTGGAGGCACACCACCCATGATCAGCGGACAGACAATAATCGGCATGAAAGGCCACAAGAGGCAGCAACGACGCCAGCAGCAGGAGCAGCTCTCTCTCTCTCTGTTTCCTCCGAGAAGCAATTATTCCACCAGCCACAGCTCACTGTGCCATCGTGACACTCCATGCACGTCGTGGCTGCGTCAACACATCCTGTTCCCTGCAGCACCTCAAAGATGCCTCACTCCGTCCACTAAGTGCATCGGTGTGGGCCGTGCCTCGGCTGCTCGTCAGGACCACAACGATGTGAGGGTCACCGAGTCGCAGCATGTTTGTTGTGACACTGTTGCATGGCACCTGCACACACACACGCAGCGCCTGCATCCCCCCCTTTTGTGTCCGCCCTCCGCCGGAGTGGCCACACACACGGGCAGCAGCAAAATCATTTCACCCTCGATGATCCAAAATCAGCACTGACATCCCTCGCGACGCAAACATCTCAGTTGCCAGCACGGGCTTCCTGTCGCTCTGCCATCGACGCCGAAACACGGCACAGTGCACGCACTTATTTTCCTCGTGTGCAGTCAGCCGTTTGCTTCACACATTCTTCGACGGAATGACGTCCACAAAAGCACTCCACAAAAGCCACTGTGATCGCACAAGCTCTTGCGACGAGCGTCGGTGTGTGCATGCATCCGCTGCTCACACGTGCTGGCAGGCAGCCTGCAGCCGCTGCCCTCGTGCCAGTTCATCGGCTCCAGCACGGAAAAGAGAAAGTGGCCTATTCCCGATGCACTTATTCCCACCGGCAGCACCAACACGCTGGCCGCCAGCCGTCATTCCTCAGCACATCCAGAAATGCTGAAAAGTGACGTGGAACTGTCAGCCAGCAGTGCCACAATCCCCGCACACATGTCGGCTCCACCAGAGAAGACACACAAATCACAAACAACGCCCTCCACATGTCATCCGAACATCATTCCGACACACCGCGACACGCCAAACAGAAGTATTCGTCACTCCATGCACCTCCTCACGCAATCACATAGTCCATGCACCACGCACGGCAGCGGCTCACACGCAGTCAAACAAATGTCCCTCGGATCAGTGGCCTCCACGTGCTGCTGTGGGAAGTAAAAAAGAGACGAGCGGCCAAACCCCAAAAGAGTGCCACGACTGGCCGCAACTCAACGGAACGCAGCCACACAAATGAATTCAGTCCTGATGCACTCAGCCTCCCACCTTCCCCACAAAAACTGCAAAGATTGAAAACAAACGCACCGTCCAATAAACTCTTTGTGCAAAGCCAAAAGAAGCCGCAGTGCCTCCTGCTGCCCTCACAGTCCGTTGATGACGCCTGGATGCGGATGGTCACCCATCGGTACTTCCAAACGACGCCGCACACCCGCGACGCATCCTGCGCTCTGAGACATGCGGCCCTCACTATCACCAGAGACGCCCACGCACCGTCAGCACGCAACAAATCGTCAAGGAACGAAGGATGCGTCAGACTGACAGCAAGACACCCGCCGACAAATCACAGCACAAACATCATCACAAGCAGAACCAAAAGCAATGCAGGCCGCAGAGTAACGTGAATCAAATGACGCATGGCGTATGTAAAAGAAAAAAAAACTCAGTGGCGCTACAAGAATACAAGAGGCTGACACTCTCTCAATAATAAAGGAACAGTATAATAATACACAAAAAGCAAACAATTTAGGCGTCCACCGTCAAAGCATGCCAATAATCAAAAAAAGGGCAATGAAATGGGTGCACTCAACCAAACCACACGTAAAACAATAAAATCAAAAGCCGAAGCGTGGGACGACCAGCGCACACACACTCTCATTACTCCAGTAAAGCAAAACACACACACAGGGAGAGAGAGAGAGGTCGCCCACTCAATGCAATAAAAACAAAACAGAAACAGTTACGGTGCTCCGCCCATGCAGCCAGGCAGGACGGCAGCGGTGCGTGTCGTGCAAAAGAGAGCACCAACGGGCCTGCATGGGTGTGCATGCATATATACAATGGGCACATTATGTGTGTGCCTCGTGGAGTGAGGTGAGGGCGAGAGTCCATGCAAGGGGACACACACACAGAGAGAGAAGGAAGAGTGTGTGTGCGGGCGGTGCACGGCTCTCTCTCCCTCACTCTCGCGCGGCCACCACCGCAGCAGCAACAACAAGAACAAGCAAAAGAGGGGAGGTGGTGTGGGAGACCGCGGTGCTGCCGTCACTTTCATCTGTAGTCGCCTTTGTGGGTTTCATGGCTGCGGCTTCAACTGGTGTTCCCTTCGGATTGGCATTCATATTTTCATTTCTTTTTTCCTCTCGTTTCTCTTCACCATCAGCTGCTGAATCATTCTTCGGGATGCCGTCTTCAGTGGTCTTGTCGGTTTCATTATCGGCGGCATCACCGTTTGCCGCGGGTGATGGTGGCCTTGATCCTGCATGGTCGGCAGATGGTTCATTGTGCTCACTGGCTGTGATTGTAACAACGCTCTTTGTTTGTGAATTGTTCTTTGGGTCCATTTCACTTTGGGGTTTTTGTAGCTGTTGCGTAGTCACGGTATCTCCAGAGCTGGAATGTTCATTCACTTGTGTTGTTGGTAGTGTTGTTGTTTTTGGTGGTTGTGTCTCTTTCTGTTCCGCTTGACTGTCATGTGTCTCCGTGAGTGCCGTATTACTTTTGCCTTTTTCTGGTTCTCCGTCCGATAGTTTTGTTACTTCCGTTTTACCCGCATTTTCTTGTTTCAGCGCGTCATCGGAGAATTTATTACCCTCGGAAGTAACCTCCAAAGCGAGTTCCACATCACTCTGAGTGCCAGGGCCGCCAGATGCTGATGAAGAGGATTGTTCAGGTTTTGGTTTTGGGGGACCAGGTTCGCCTCTGCTCTTATCCTCTGCTTCATTTCCTTTTTTATCCAACTCTTCTTGTTTTCCCTCCTCTCCTGTATTTCTTTCTCCGGGCTTCTGCAGTGGTGCCGCTGCTGGTGGTGGTGGTGGATCTGCGACAACAACTCCCCCTGAGCCAAGCGCTGCATCGCCCTCCGTATTACCGCTCAATTTCTTATCCTGCAATGATTCCTTCGACTCATCCTGAGATGAACCTGCATCACCGCCCAATCCTCCCTCATCCGCAGCTTCAACCGCATTTATTAACCCCATTCGAGTGGATAACAACCCGCAGTCCGCTTTTATAGAAACGCCATCATCTCCACCATTACTCGTGTGCCTTAAACCGCTCCCTCCACCCTCACTGCAGTAACCTTCCGTCGCGTGTCCAAAAACAGCACCGCACCACAGCACGCAGAGGGCACACACCAGCAGCACACGGCCAGCCATCATCGCCATCACTCCTGTCACTTGCGTGTGGCCTTCAGCACAAAATAAGTCCCATTCAGCGGAGAGCGGAAGCAAAAAGGAGAGAGACAAGTCACACAGCCACGCCACAGCAACAAATGGCAGCACCCAAGCAACGCACAATAAAATGAGGCAGCTGGAATCAGCACAATTGCAGAGCTCGCACACCTCCCCGCAAACCAGAAGTTGAGCAGGGAAAAACA